CCCCCCGGTACAAGGAGTGTTTTCCATGTATTGAAATACACTCCTATGAAGACAGCCACTTCTAAAGATAGAAGTCCGATTTTTTTGACTAGACTAAAAGGTAACCATTTATGATTAAAAAAACAATCTCTTAACAATTTAACTTAATTATTTATTCTTAAGTCTACAAATAAGCTATGTTTTTAAGCTTAGTTAAACATGCGACTAACCATTATTGCCATAAAAATTCACGCCAACTAGGAAAAACTAAACACTTTTTAAATTAAATTGATGATATTAATTAGCCATACATTTATGAGTACCATCGATTTAGATTTAATGAATCATTTAATGTTATAGCACAATGTGTCTAAAAAATAATCGCGTTGTATTCATACCACAATTTTTATTTCTTGAACCACATTTTCATTACATTTAAAATTCTTAATCTTTGTTTATTATAGCACTTATATCCCTAATAACATTTCATGTCATTCTTATTTTCAAACTTTTCATTAGTTAACATGCTTTGTATTTAATAAAATTTTTATGTCCAAATATTCGATGAAATGGCGTAAAATAACTTATATTTCATCATATTTTTTAAAATTAAATAAATAAAAAGTGCGTAAAATATTTTTCCTACATTTCAAAACATGAAAACAAAATATTTTAATATACATCATCATCAAGGACGAGACGTATTAATTAATGAAATGTTGAAAATAAGAATTCGACGAAAGAAATAATTACTACGATGAACAAAAATTGGAGTCAAATTTTTAATTTCAGGGTTGACTGAATGATTAATGGTTGAATTCTGTGCAATGGTCTTCGACTGCAATCAAGGTGAAAGGGTTGAGACTATGGCAACAAAATAAAAAGTTAAGATGTAGGTTGCAATAAATTGAAACGTTTGGGACCTCCTCTGCAATTTTTCCTTTAATAAATTCTTGAAACAGGAAAATTAATTGAAGTTTCCATTTGTAATTTGAAAAACCAAATTACCGAAACAAAAAGTCAAACTTCCAGACAGTTTCCCTTGAATTTTACGATATCTCCTCCCTCTTTCCCTACTCTCTATCTCTCTCTCTTTGTGCGTGTTTCTTTATATATACATATTATTCTTCCCTAAAATCTATTTCCCCTCAGTCTCATCTTCATTCCTCCTCCTCCTCCTCCGCTTCCGTCTCCGCCGCGCACTTTCAACCATCATCCGCCACCAGTATAGAAATTTTATGCTAAATCTTTCTTGATCCAATGAAAACCTCCGGCATAGGCTTTTTTCAACATGGGTTCGTTGTTTTTATTTCCGTTGTCGTCCTCTTGCTATATTCAGAAATTGCCATGGTTGAAGCTCAGTCGACTCCACCCGGTGACAACAACAACGGGTACCCATATGCAAAGTTCAGTCCATCCATGGCGATTATCATAGTAGTCCTCATAGCAGCACTTTTCTTCATGGGTTTTTTTTCTATCTACATCCGCCACTGCTCCGACACTTCCGGTGCTGCCGGAAGCGTCCGTCGAGCACTTTCTATGCGATCCCGTCGTGCAGGAGCCGCGCGTGGACTCGACGCTTCCATCTTAGAAACTTTTCCCACTTTCTCATACTCAGAAGTGAAGGATCACAAGATTGGAAAAGGAGCCTTGGAGTGTGCTGTGTGTTTGAATGAATTTGAAGATGATGAGACTATTCGTTTGATACCAAAGTGTGATCATGTGTTCCATTCTCAGTGCATCGATGCCTGGCTCGAATCTCACGTCACTTGCCCTGTTTGTAGAGCTAATTTGGTTCCTGTGTCGACCGATGGGCAGACACAGGAACCGGAGTCGATTAACGCTAATGAAGNCCGGAGTCGATTAACGCTAATGAAGAGAGCAATGAAAACGTGGAAAGAATCAACAGTTCAAGAAATGAGGAACAAGTTGTTATCCAAGTTGAAAGCAGCAATGAAAATCAGCCACAAGGGCAAGAGGGTGCTGCTAGACCGGGAATGATGAACCGGAACTCGAGTTTACAATACCCCAACCGGCCACCAAGGTCGTGGTCCATAAGAAGGCCGAAAATGTTTGGACTAGTTAAGTTTAGATCACACTCTACTGGTCACTCCCTGTCTTTGGTTCTACCGGGAGAAAATCTTGACCGCTTCACTTTGAAATTACCGGAACAAGTTAGGAAAGAGGTTATGAGCCGGGCTATGTTAAATAGGACTAAAAGTTGTGCCACAACATTACCTCGAGAAGGAAGTTCAAGAAGGGGTGGGAGGTTTTATCAGAGGATCGAAAGGCCAGAACTAGGAGAAAAATCAGACAGGTGGAAGTTTACTAGGGCGTCGTCTTTTTTCTCGAGAGCATTGTCAATGAGAACACCAAGAGTGG